CTTGTGGACCCGATTTTAGTTTTAGTTGCAGACCCGATTTTAGTGGGCCGCAGCCCATGGGTTAGGAACCACTGTTCTAGAGCTTCCAGTGTATTCCAGATCCAGGAAGAAATTGGCTCAACAAAATGCAGGGTGTTCCTGCTAAAGAGCAGTAAAGAATACCAAATGTTCCAAGGACATTTGACAGGAATGAGCTGATCAATCCCCTGAAAGGAGTACAGATATATAGATACACATACCTCTGCTGCTTTCACTTTTTTCACCCATATGCTCCAGTATGCTGATGCACATCTCTGGGGGAAATGGGGAAAAATACATGCAAAGTGGTTTGTGGCCAGGTTCCCTAGCAAATATCACTTTTCTGGTCTCTTACTGGTTCATGGTATTGGCAATCTGATCACCCATGCAGCAAATCCAGTTCCTCCCAAACCAGGTTCAAGCTGGATTAAAGTGTCAGTGTAGAAGTAACCTGGAAATCCTGCGGCACATCTACACTGACCAACTTAAGTCAATGTCAAAACCAATATTGAATATATTTATTTATTTATCTATTTATTTACAGCATTTCTACCCCACCCTTCTCAACCCCCGGTTTCGCTGCGCAGATTATTACATCCGAAATCCTGGAACCAGTTTGAAACCTGGATGGTGATTACACAAACCACAGATATGCTTTAAAGGCTTTTGTGTAAAATGTTTTGTCTACCTGGCACAGTTTAAAGCTAGCTTTGCACCACTTTAAATTGTCAATACAGAAAGTACAGGTTGTGGATCAGGGATCCCATTCTGTTCAGATTCTGGACTGTAAGGATATATATATATTAGGCTTGGGCAATCCATGGTTCTAAATGGTTCTAAAGTACTTACAAAACTAAAGTTCTGGTGGTGAAAATTTCAGAACTCTAACAAAACTCTCAAAATTTCATAATAAATGGCAGTTCTTAATTGGTTCTGTCATTAAAATCGCCAATAATGAAATAATAATTAAATTTTGAAAGTTTTGTTAGAGTTCTGAAATTTTCACCACCAGAACTTTAGTTTTGTAAGTACTTTAGAACCATTTAGAACCATGGATTCCCCAAGCCTAATATATATATATCTAAATCAGTGGTTCTCAACCTTCTTAATGCCGTGACCCCTTAATACAGTTCCTCATGTTGTGTTGACCCCCAACCATAATATTGTTTTCATTGCTACTTCATAACAGTCATTTTACTACTGCTATAAATCATAATGTAAATATCGGATATGCAGGATGTATTTTCATTCATTGGACCAAACTGGGCACAAATACCCAATACACCCAAATGTGAATGCTAGTGGGGTTGGGGGAGGATTGATTTTGTAATTTGGGAGTTGTAGTTGCTGGGATTTATAGTTCACCTATAATCAAAGAGCATTCTGAACTCCACCAGCGATGGATTTGAACTAAACTTGGCTCCCATGACCAAGGAAAACACTGGAAGGGTTTGTGGGCATTGACCTTGAGTTTGGGAGTTGTAGTTCACCTATATCCAGAGAAGCGCTGTGGATTCATGCAATGATGGATCTGAACCAAACTTGGCACAAATACTCAATATGCCCAAATGTGAACACTGGTGGAGTCTGGGGAAAATAGATCTTGACATTTGGGAGTTGTAGTTGCTGGGATTTATATTTCATTGCAATAAAAAAACATTCTGAAATCCACCAACGATAGACTTGACTCAAACTTCCCACAAGGAATCCCCATGACCATCAGAAAATACTGTGTTTTCTTGTGGTCTTTGGTGACCCCTCTGACACCCCCTCGCGGGTCCCGACCACCAGGTTGAGAAACACTGCTCTAAATAAAAGTTGGATCCTTGATTCACCAGCATAGACTCCTAATCTTTTCCAGTGTGGCTGGGAGAAAGCATTCCACATCACTATACATAATGGGCATATGTATATTCATTTATCTTCATTTTAGGTGCAAGGCTGTGACATGGATTTGCCAAAGTGGGCCATGGTACAAAAGATACTGGTCAAACAGAAATTACAGGATCTCAGGATGCTGGCAGATCGATATACATACATTCTCATATATGACGGTATAAGAAACACTAGCATGCGTCACTTATTTATTTAAATAGCATCTATATCTATATAATAAAAGTGAATGCTTGCAGCACCTTAATTCACTTCCAGAGACCACTGCGATCCCCATGAATGATGGGCCTGGACCAAACTTTGAACACAGACTCCCCCCCCCCCAAATGACCAACTGAACATTCTTATTTATTTATTTATTTATTTATTTATTTACTTTGCTTATATACCGCTGTTCTCAGCCCGGGGGCGACTCACAGCGGTGTACAACATAGAAAGAACAAGGTTCAAAATTCAAGACACAATCTAAAATAATCAGTCCAGCATTAACCAATTCTTGAGGAGATTGAGGGAAAAATGATCTTGATTTCAGAGAGTTGTAGTTCACCTTTATCCAGAGGAACTGTGATGTCCCCATTGACCACTGACCATGACCAAACTTGGCAAAAAGATCCAACATGGCCAACTTTGAATACTGATGGGGTTTTGGATGACCGACCCTCGATTTTGGGAATTGTAGTTTACCCACATCCTTATGCCTTTTCTAATGGGAGCATTAATTTAAAAAACAAAAGGAAAGACTGCCTTTTTTCCCTAATAAATAGTGTTACAAATTACCTTAAGTGATATTACCTAATATCCAAAAACAAGCAATGCCTTTTTCAAATAACCTGGGCATCACCAGGTCCTCAAGCTAGTATATGATAAAAGTGAATGTTTGTATGTTTGGTTGCAGTGGTGTTTCTCCCAGCTTTCCTATTGGCTCCCACTTCCACAAAGCACTGCAACCCCCACAAATAATGGACCTGGACCAAACTTGACACACATAACCTCCATGGTGAGGTTGGGGGGGGGGGGGTGTGACATTGAATTCTGGGAGTTGTAGTTCACCTGCATCCAGCAAGTACCCAAGGTGGTATAAAATAAAATGCAAACACTAAATAAGTAAGTCAATATAACACTTTATTTTAAATTAATCCACACATAAATTACTCGAACAATAATGTTAAGATATAATTTTCCCATTTAACTGCATTTCTGAAAGTGGAATATGTCAATATTGCCTGACAATTGAAGGTGTTGTGCTCTTGGATCCTGAATGTGCTTTCTAAATATTTTGGAAGTGTCTACATTTCTTTCTCTATCTTCTGTTTTGAGGGGAATGGTTAGGTCACAGAAAACAGATCTGTTCAGATGGAGGCAATCCAGATCTCAAGAGAAGGAGATTGCCTCATCTGGAGTATTGTGTTCAGCTCTGGGAAAGTGAGAGAAAACGTCTCCGAGAAGCCAATATCCTTGCCTGCAAAAGAAATATTTCAGGGTAATCACAGATTCAATCTCCCAAGTTCTAAAAAGACACACAAATCTGGAGGTAGGCATGCATCTGCTGCTCTTGCAGGCACACTAGTGTGTTGCAGATTTTTCTTCATGGAGTGCTGAATGTAAGCCAATGAAAGTTCGCTTAATACCGTTTGTGGTATTAAGAGAACTCAAAAACCTCTGGACGAATTGACACCAAATTTGGACACAAGACACCTAACAACCCAATGTATGTCCTTCACTCAAAAAAATTGAGACTTTGTCATTTGGGAGTTGTAGTTGCTGGGATTTATAGTTCACTTATTATCAAAGAGCGTTCTGAACCCCACCAACAATGGAATTGAACCAAACTTGGCACACAGAACTCCCATGACCAACATGGGCATTGACCTTGAGTTTGGGAGTTGTAGTTCACCTACATCCAGAGAGCACTGTGGACTCAAACAATGATGGATCTGGACCAAACTTGACACAAATATTCTATATGCGCAAATATGAACACAGATGGAGTTTGGGGGAAAATAGACCTTGACATTTGGGCGTTGTAGTTACTGGGATTTATAGTTCACCTACAATCAAGGAGCATTCTGAACCCCACCAACGATAGAATTGGGCCAAATTTCCCACACAGGACCCCCATGCCCAACAGAAAATACTTAAGGCCATCCAGTCCAACTCCCTTCACCAGGGCAAGAAAACGTAATCAAAGCCCTCCTGACAAAGAGCCATCCAGCCATAGATATAGATAGACATATATGATTCACACACAGATATAATATCATAGATTTGAAAGGGACCCCTAAAGAAGGACAATGATATGTTGCTTGTTCCATAGTAGGCAAACCAGGCAATCTACACATCAACACTGACAAAAAAACAACAAGAAATTACATATATTAGAAACCCATGCTTTCACATTACTTTATTTTCCAGATCACCAGACTGGGCCACAGTAACGTGTGGCAGGGATGGCTTATATATATATATATAAAATGCTTTGGATATCATAGGGAAGGATTAACACCCCTGTGCTGCTTGCTTTGCTGTCTGTGTCCCTATTCAGAATATTTCACCTCACTTTCTGTCCCTGTGATAATTGGATTTTGAAAATGTGGCTTGTGGAAACAAAGATTGGTGAGAATGTTCAATGGAGACACTTTTCCCCCATGATAATAATTCTTCCAAGAGTCGATTCGACTTCCGAGGAGTAGATTTCTCTCATCCTATTCTTAACTATGAGTCATTTGCAAGTTGGATGTTTATAACTTGAGGACTGCATGTACAGTGATAGGGCTATATAAGAAGAAGATGTTGAGGGTAGTTTCAGTCATGACAGTAATCCACAGGATCCCCCAAATGTCTTTAGTTGTGACCGTTCAACTGGAGAAGTGCTCCCAACCATGTTTCACCACTCTTCTTGAATGTCTCCGGTCTCATCATGACAACATAACAAAGGCATTCCAAGTAGCAAGCTACTGGTCAAAGGACATTTAATAGAATGCCAAGTTTGCAAACTTTGCGGGTTTTTTTAAATACAATACAACTATTTGGTTCGCTCGTGACATGATAAATAAATATCTTAACAACGGAAGTCCAATCACTTTGTCCAATCACTTTGGGGGCTCCTAGGTTTCATGTATTTGGAAAAGACCGAAAAAGCTACCACGTGGCACAAGAGACCCTTCTTGTTTTGAGTCTGCACGTATTGTTACATGGAGCGTGTCATTCTCTGCTAGTCGATGAAGTACAGCTTTGAAGTTATGAAGCGTTTTGCTTGAACTGTAAACCCGATGTAAGGGCAGATTTAGCAGCATACGAGAGGAATCAGAACTGCTGGCTGTCTGATGATAGATGGTGAGATTTGCATTTAATGTATTTCCTTTGTCAAGCCGATGGGTAAGATTCATCTGGACGTAGATACAGTAAAGACCAGCCATCTTAACCACAAGTGCCTTAGAGCTGTTGTTGTATGCAAATGCCATGCCAAGAAAGGCTCCTTTAACTGAATTGGTGTACCAGTCCAGCGTCCTCCTCGGTACTATGGATGCTATAAACAAAGGAAAAGAATGAAATGAGAACATCAATGGCTATTTAAGATGACAGCAACAAATGTAACAACACAAGCAGGACTTCCCTTTTAGTGTTTGACTTTGTACCACTATTTGAACCCCTACATTCCTGTAGTGCAGGGGTCCTCAAACTTTTTAAACAGAGGGCCAGGTCAAAATTAAAACTTGTGCACCAGTTGCGCCCGTACCTTGGGAAGTCTGATCTGGCCACAGTGGTCCACGCTCTTGTTACATCCCGTATAGACTACTGCAACGCACTCTACATGGGGTTGCCCTTGAAGACTGTTCGGAAACTCCAACTGGTCCAGGGAGCAGCAGCCAGATTGCTTACCAGAGCGACATACAGGTAGCATACCACCCCACTGCTGTGTCAGCTCCACTGGCTGCCGGTTCAATTCCGAGCACAATTCAAGGTGCTGGTTCTGACCTACAAAACCCTTTATGGTTCCGGTCCAGCGTATCTGTCCGAACGTATCTCCCTCTACATCCCACCTCGGAATTTGAGATCATCTGGGGAGACCCTGCTCTCGACCCCACCGCTATCACAAGTGAGGCTGGTGGGGACGAGGAGCAGGGCCTTCTCAGTGGTGGCCCCTCAACTGTGGAACTCACTCCCGGGGGAAATTAGGGCCTCAACATCCCTCCTCTCCTTCAGGAGGAAGGTAAAGAAGTGGTTGTGGGGCCAGGCCTTCGGGCAATCTGACAATTAGACATGGACAGCCAGATGGATAGGACTAAAAGGACTGACAATTATGGAATGGGAATTTGAACTATGAGATTGTGAAACGCTGACCATCAATGAGGTTTGTATTGGTTTTTATTGCTTTTATTGGTTTTATGGTTGTTTTGCCTATACTAATTATTGTTTTCTGTTAACTGTTGTTATTGCCAGAATGCTGTTTTGTTAACTGATGTTATTGTCTTTTGCTGTATGTGATGCGGGCATCGAATTGTGCCTTGCTTTTGTAAGCCGCCCTGAGTCCCCCCCGGGGTGAGAAGGGCGGGGTAGAAGCAACCGAAATAAATAAATAAATAAAACCCTCAAACTGTTATAATTTGAGAAAAAAACACCTATGTACACTGCACATATCTTATTTGTAGTGCAAAAACATTTTAAAACAACAGAACAATTAAAATGAAGAACAATTTTAATAAATATAAACTTATTAGTATTTCAATGTATTGTCGAAGGCTTTCATGGCCGGAATCACTGGGTTGCTGTAGGTTTTTTCGGGCTATATGGCCATGGTCAAGAGGCATTCTCTCCTGACGTTTCGCCTGCATCTATGGCAAGCATCCTCAGAGGTAGTGAGGTCTATTGAAACTAGGAAAGTGGGTTTAGATATCTGTGGAAAGACCAGGGTGGGACAAAGGACTCTTGTCTGCTGGAGCTAGGTGTGAATGTTTCAACTGACTACCTTGATTAGCATTTGATAGCCTGGAAGTGCTAATCAAGGTGGTCAAATGCTAATCAAGGTGGTATATACATATATAAGTTAGGCTTGTGTTTGTCATGGATGCTGGCCGTCGTATAGATAAATATATGGATGCTGATCTAGTAGTGAGAAGCATTTTCATTCATATTCAGGCTACATATCTAAAGCACAAGCTGTATCCACACTGAAAAATTATGCATTTCGAACCACATTGACTGTCTTGACTCAATGCCATAGGATTTTTAGTGTTGTCGAAGGCTTTCATGGCCAAAATCCCTGGGTTGTTGTAGGTTTTTTCGGGCTATACGGCCATGTTATAGAGGCATTCTCTCCTAATGTTTCGCCTACATCTATGGCAAGCATCCTCAGAGGTAGTGAGGTCTGTTGGAACTAGGAAAATTGGGTTTATATATCTGTGGAATGACCATAGTGGGACAAAGGACTCTTGTCTGCTGGAGCTAGGTGTGAATGTTTCAACTGACCACCTTGATTAGCATATAGTGGCCTGACATTGCCTAGAGCAAACTTTTGTTGAGAGGTGATTAGATGTCCTTGTTTGTTTCCTCTCTGTTGTTGTGCTGTTGCAATTTTAGAGTTTTTTTTAATACTGGTAGCCAGATTTTGTTCATTTTCATGGTTTCCTCCTTTCTGTTGAAATTGTCCACATGCTTGTGTATTTCAATGGCTTCTCTTCTTAGTATTTCAATGGAAAGTGTGGACCTGCTTTTGGCTGATTTGGATTTGTATTGTTGTTATTGTTGTGTGCTTTCAAGTCATTTCAGACTTAGGTTGACCCTGAGCGAGGGCCGGTTAGAAGACCTTGGAGGGCCGTATCCAGCCCTCGGGCCATAGTTTGAGGACCCCTGCTGTAGTGTCACAAAAGCCTTGAGTCGTACACAAACTCTGTCATTACGATGCACACTGTTGACAACAGCAGTGGAAAGAATACATTCAAATGTTCAGAAAATGGTAAAAGCTATTTTTGTTGAGTGTATTGTCGTAGGGTTTTTTCGGGCTATATGGCCATGTTCTAGAGGCATTTTCTCCTGAGGCATTTTTGTTGAGTGTTAGGAAACTCTGATGAAGAAAATGAATCTTCACAGTTCAGGACTGATTCTGCACAAAATTGACGTGTGGGTTTTTTGTGCTGGAAACAGCATTTTCTATACAGGAAAAAAAGCTTTTGCACAGGAAACAGCAAATACATATGTAAATTTATTGAAAGTGCTGAACTGTGAATTATCTTGCCCACAGCAGGAGAAAGATGGTTGAAATGGCCCATTGCTTTCTTCAAACAGAACACTGATGCAGGATAATGTAATCCAAATAGTGCTTCCTTATGACATATGATGTCTACATGGCCAGTGGTCATTTCTTTCTGATGTGACTTGGAGATCCCTAGAGAGGAAGCTTAAATCAACTCTGCAGAACCCCACAAATATGGAGGTTGGCTTTATAGCCTTAGACTACATTCCTAGGCTTTGATTGTGTATTCTTGCATCGAAGGGAACTGGACTGGATGGCCCTTATGGTCTCTTCCCGTTCTGAGATTCTATGTATTCCCTGACTTTCATTCTCTCTTTTTCTTTCTTTTTTTCTCTTCCTCCTTTCTTTCTATTTGTTGCACTTTACGTATTTCCCCAACCCCATGATTTCTCTGCACTAGCCTCAGCCCAACCCTCTCAAACTGTCTCGGCCCATTTCGAAATTCTGGCCGCTGGTAGCTTATTTTGCACTAAATAATAGTGTTAGAATTGGTTTAAATGTATATGTTTGTGTTTATAATTTTATGCTTACTCTGTATGTTTTCTGTGTTATTTTGCCTACATGGAAACCACCCTGAGTCCCCTAGGGGAGATAGAGCAGTATATAAATAAAGTTTGTTGTTGTTGTTGTTGGAAAAGAAAGATATAAAGAGCTGAACCTTTCTCTTTCCACGGTTGTTTAATTAAAATAATATTTGAATGAAGGTAAGTACTGTTCCCAGAGAGTGGGGTGGGGGGAGGGGAAGAGGGGTGTAAAATCGATAGACACAAGTGGGTGATACATGTAGAATAGGTAAGGATAAGAAATAGATCAATAAATAATAACAGTGGAACTCTCTGCCTCAAAGTGTGGTGGAGGCTCCTGCCTTGGAAGCTTTCGGACAGAAGCTGGATGGCCATCTGCCAAGGATACTTTGTGCTTTTCCTACATGGCAGGGGGTTGGACTAGATTAGATTTGACGCGGATGACTAGGGACGGTTTTAAATGGTGTATTTCAATATTTTGATAAATGTTTTTTAATGTTTATGTATGTGTATATGAATTTGTGTCACGGCATTGAATGTTTGCCGTATATATTGAATGTTTGAATGTTTGCATTGAATGTTTGCCATATATATGCTGTGCTGAGTCCCCTTTGGAGTGACAAGGGCGGACTATAAATGTTTTAAATAAATAAATATGAAAACAATATTTGATATGTATTCGGAAATGGTGATGGATTGTGATATTATTCTTTCTGTGTCGGCAATAAAAACATACATTAAAAAAGAGCGGTATAAAAATAAAATTTGTTGTTGGATTGTTGTAGGTTTTTCCGGGCTATATGGCCATGTTCTGGAGGCAATTTTTCTCCTGACGTTTCGCCTGCATCTATGGCAAGCATCCTCAGAGGTAATGAGGTCTGTTGGAACTAGGAAAAATGGGTTTATATATCTGTGGAATGACCAGGGTGAGACAAAGGACTTTTGTTTGCTGGGGCTAGCTGTGAATGTTTCAGCTGATCACCTTGATTTGCATTCAATGGCTTGGAAGCGCCTGGGGGGAATCTTTTGTTGAGAGTGATTTCATGTGCCTGTTTGTTTCCCCTCTGTTGTTTTGCTGCTGTAATTTTTGAGTTTTTTAATACTGGTAGCCAGATTTTGTTCATTTTCATGGTTTCTTCCTTTCTGTTGAAATTGTCCACATGCTTGTGGATTTCAATGGCTTCTCTGTGTAGTCTGACATGGTGGTTGTGAGAGTGGTCCAGCACTTCTGTGTTCTCAAATAATATGCTGTGTCCAGGTTGGTTCATCAGGTGCTCTGCTATGGCTGATTTCTCTGGTTGGAGTAGTTTGCAGTGCCTTTCATGTTCCTTGATGCGTGTCTGGGCGCTGCGTTTGGTGGTCCCTATGTAGACTTGTCCACAGCTGCATGGTATACGGTAGACTCCTGCAGAGGTGAGAGGATCCCTTTTGTCCTTTGCTGAACGTAGCATTTGTTGGATTTTCTTGGTGGGTCTGTAAGTGGTTTGTATGTTGTGTTTGTTATATGTTTTAAAAGATGTATTTATTTCTTGATTTATTTGCTGCATTTCTATGCCACCTTTCTCAGTCCGAAGGCAATTGAAGGCGACTTACACTGGCACGATTTGATGCCACAATAAACAAACAAAATTAAAAACAATTTACACACATTATAAAACTCTGTAAAAAGCATTAAAAGCATAAAACACCAGTAACTTCCTATTAGCTCATTTCCAAGACATTGCATATTGGTTTCCATAAGATTAGGGACTGTCCAAGTGTTTGTTGTTTTTAATGACTGTTATGATAATTTGGTTGTAATTAATTGCTACTGTTTTAACTCTGTATGTATCTATGGTTTTATACTGTGTTTACCCGGGGGGGGGGGGGGGTGAGAAGGGGGTAAAAATACTGTAAATAAATAAATAATAATAAATTTCTGCCTCAATTTTCTCCTTCCTTCCTTGGAAACTTTTAAACAAAGGCAGGATGGCCCTCTGTCAGGGATACTTTGATTGTGCTTTTCCTGCATGGAAGGGAGTTGGATTAGATGACCCATGTGGTCTCTTCCAACTCTATGATTCTCTGATTCTCTACAGCAGCCTCCATCAACATGTTGCCCTCCAGATGTGTTGGGCTACAACTTCTATGTACTGCCTCAAGTGTGTGCCACTATATTCAGGGAAAGGGAGATCAATAGTGGGGAACAGTACCCTAGGAAGATCCCTTCGTATGGCTAATTTATAAGCAGCAGAGAGTTTACTCAAATAGTAAACTGTATAATGAACATATAACTCTCTGTAGGCAACTGCACTCAAGTATGACCAAACAATACAACCAAGGTAGAGATATGCAAAGAAAGAGTTGACTTTTTAACAGTTGAAACAACCATGAATTGTTGTTTGACTGTGTGTCTGACTTTTATTATGTTGTTTTGCACAGTTTATTTTATTTTGTTACTTCATGTATTTTGTTGTGATGTAATTTTTCTGTTATTTTGTGTCTAACTTAGCTGTATTATTTTTGGGCTTGGCCTCATGTTAGCCACCTCGAGTCCCCTTTGGGGAGATGGTGGCGGTGTATAAATAAAGATTATTATTATTATTATTATTATTATTATTGACACAAAAGCACAGTATGTCACACAAACGAGATCTATATGCTGGATTTTGTATCACAAAATCACAAGTCGAACAATTCCCAAGCGTCTAAGACTGTGTGATGTATTTTCGAATGACGTGCGCAGATCCAAATAAGGTGGTGGTGGTGGTTGTTGTTGTTATTATTATTATGTCTCTCCGTAGAAATCAACTGCATAACCTCCAATTGTTCTGATTTGGTGTGAACTGATCCAAGTACTCTGTTGTTCCATGTTAAGTTGCTTTTAAGCTGCCCCAAATTTTCTCTCTCACTTTTGTCTTTAGCTTACTTCAGTTACTGAAAACCAAGTTCAAAGCACAAAAGTAGTTTGCACTCAGTGAATTCAGCAGGAAAGAGAGTGAGCAATGGGCGTCTTCCTCTTCTTTGGGTTCGTCTTCACTGTAGAACTGATGCAATTTGACTCCATTTAAATTGCCATGGCCCAATGCTAGGGAATCATGGCAACTGCCCTTTTAAAAAGTCTTTGCCTTTGTCGCTTCTGGTGTGAGAGAATTGGCCGTCTGCAAGGACGTTGCCCAGGGGATGCCCGGATGATTTTTGATGTTTTATCATCCAGTGATTCTGGGCATGAAAGCCTTCAACAACACAAGATTCTAGATCTTCTCCTTCCACCACTCTTCCCTAATAAACTACTTTTCATTTTCACACATAGATCAAGAAAATCGGGTTGAGTAGGGAGTCTACAGTGGTTAAGAAGAGCATCAAACAGCCGTGAAGGCCTATAACTGTCTCCAAGTCTGAACTTTGCCCCCGGCTACCTTTTCCGTAAAGCATTCTATGTGCAGATTTTGGAAAAGTTATTTTTATGGGGAGAAAATTCTCAGAATCCATATATCTATATATATAAATCTGAAAGTGGCGTCGAACGGAGCCACAAAACTAAAAAAAAAAAACCAACGGAAATTAACCAAAATTCCCATGCACATAACACATCCCACTAGGTACAAACGAATCGAATCAAAATGAAAAACAACACAACAACACACTCACAAAACGGCAAAACAACTGAGCATGCACATTGGCACCCAGCCACAAGTTCCCTGGCACGCGCACATGGCCTGGCGGCCAACGTTCCCTCCACGCAAGAAACGCCCCCATCCTCACGCCGCGCCACTTCCCACCCTGTCAAAAGCATCGCAACTCACCCTCCTTCATCTTACCCTGCTCACGCCGCCACACACACACACCCACGCTGGTAAGACACGCCCCCTCCCTCCCTTCCCCCCCACCCCTTCCCTCCCTGTCTCATTCCTTCCCTCCTCCCACCCTCCGCCGGTAAGACACGCCCCCTCCCTTCGTCGCGGCGGGCCCAATCACACTCACGCCGGTAAGACACGCCCCCTTCCTTCCCCCCACCCCTTCCCTCCCTGACTCACTCCTCCCCCGCCGCAAACACACACACACACACAATGCACGTTCACTCCTCCCCCCGCCGCCCACACACACCCTGCCACACACACACACACTCAAGCCAGTAAGACACGCCCCCTTCCTTCCCCCCCACCCCTTCCCTCCCTGACTCACTCCTCCCCGTCGCAAACACACACACACACACACAACGCTCCTTCACTCCTCCCCCCGCCGCCCACACACACCTTCCGCCACACACACACACATTCACTCCAGTAAGACATGCCCCCTTCCTTCCGGCACACACACACACACACCCTCACCCCCACCCCCCCACCCCCGGTAAGACACGCCCCCTTCCTTCCCCCCCCACCCCTTCCCTCCCTCACTCAATCCTCCTTTCACCACCTCCGGTAAGACACGCCCCCTTCCTTCCCCCCCCACCCCTTCCCTCCCTCAGCCAATCCTCCTCCCACCCCCTCCGGTAAGACACGCCCCCTTCCTTTTTCCCCCACCCCTTCCCTCCCTCAACCAATCCTCCTCCTCCCCCGCTGGTAAGACATGCCCCCTTCCTTTTTCCCCCACCCCTTCCCTCCCTCAACCAATCCTCCTCCTCCCACCCCCATGACCAACAGAAAATACTGGAAAGGTTTGGTGGGCATTGACCTTGAGTTTGGGAGTTGTAGTTCACCTACATCCAGAGAGCACTGTGGACTCAAACAATGATGGATCTGGACCAAACTTGGCACAAGAACTCAATACGCCCAAATATGAACACAGATGGAGTTTGGGGGAAATAGACCTTGACATTTGGGAGTTGTAGTCACTGGGATTCACAGTTCACCTACACTCAAAGAGCATCCTGAACCCCACCAACGACAGAATTGGGGCAAACTTGCCACACTGAACCCCCATGACCAACAGAAAATACTCAAGTTTACACACAAGCATAAAGAAATTATATATATTAGAAACCAACACTTTCTCATTACTTTATTTTCCAGATCAACAGACTGGGCCACAGCAACGCGTGGCAGGGGACAGCTAGGAAGTGAGGCTAGGCAGAGACTTCAAAACTCTTACTATAGGCCACAGCAACATGTGGCAGGGCACAGCTAGTACTATATAGGTTTGTATTTGGAAGCTGGTGTTGATACAGTTCAATGAATAATGAGACCATCTATACAGGCACTTTGATGCAGTTCAGGGCTAGCTTTAAACTCCAAACATCAGACAACAGACTTCCACAAAAGAAGTGAAAGGAAGCCTTTAACACATATCAATGCTCTGTGGTTTGTGTCATCACCATCCCGGCCTCAAACTGGCACGAGGATTTCCTATCTAATCATCTGCGTGGAGAAACCGATTTTTCAATACTGATGCAACACTGCATTCAATGGTCAGGGTAGAGGTGCCCTTTTCCAGATGTCTAAGTGCTTCAAAGGAGTCAAACATGTTTGGAAGAAAGGAGAGGTACTTACAGTCTCCATGCAGTTTTAGGACCAGCTGTGCATAATTCTGGGGAAAAAAGGAGGAGGTAGTGGAAGTTAGTCCAAGTGAACAGGGAGGGGGCTCTCAAAATAAAAACCCCACACACTGAATCTACATTGTTGAATTAATACAGACACCACCCTAACTCATGGCAATGCTATGGAATTGTAAGAGCTGTAAAAGTACTTCTGTTCTTTGCTCAGAAACTAATTGGCACCCAGTGGAGTGACTTTAATATAGGGGTAAGTGCGCTCTCCATGAAGCATCCTTAGGGGCTCTATGGTTCTCTCCTTTCCCCCATCCTCCTCCTACTCCAAACTTTCGCTCTTCTTTCCTGCTTCTCCCCCTCCCCCCAACAACCTTGCCACCCAAAGTCTATTTCCCTTGGCCCCCTTGCCCCAAAAACCTTATTTCCTCACCTTCTTTGCCACCCAGATCCTTTTCCCTTCTCCTTCTTTGCTTCCTGGGGTTTCTGCTGCTACTACTACTACTACTACTACTACTACTACTACTACTAATACTATTATTATTATTATTCTCTGGCAGCTTTTAAGAAAGACCTAAAAATTTGGCTTTTCCGATGTGCCTTTGGCAAGTGAATATATATTCCATTTTAGTCTGTCCCAATTACAGCTCCGTCCTCATGATGCAGTTTCCCTCCACCCTTAATGAAGGTTTAATAATAATAATAATAATAAACTTTATTTATACCCCGCCACCATCTCCCCAGTGGGGACTCAGAGTGGCTTACATGGGGTCAAGCCCGAACAACATATTACAGCAATAAAATCAAAACATAAACAACAAACAACAACATCATCATCAGAATTAATTAATAAGAAAAAAACTTCAAGTATGTCCTTGGTTGTTGCTTATGATGGTTGTTTTATTGTTTTATTATTGTTTTTATGTTGTTTTGCATTATTGTTATATTGTTTTATATGCTATTTTTTAACTCTGTGTTACTGGGCTTGGCCCCATGTAAGCCACCCCAAGTCCCTTCGCGGAGATGGAGGCGGGGTGTAAATATAAAGTTATTGTTGTTGTTGTTGTTATTATTATTATTATTATTATTATTATTATTATTATTATTATTATTCCCACTGTTCAGCCCTTTGAGTCCCTCCCTCAGAAACACATTCTACCTTTCTCATCCAGGGTTTTATCAATTCTATCAATTTTACTTCTAGTACATTTGGCCCACCCACTGTGTCCCATTTCTCTATCATGTCATTTTGGAACAGTTTATTTTATTTTGTTATGTTATGTATTTATTTTCATGGTGTTTTGCTTTTGTATTTTATTTTGCTGTACTTGTATTGTATTTTGTTGTAATTTTGGGCTTGGCCTCATGTTAGCCACCCCGAGTCCCCATCGGGGAGATGGTGGTGGGATATAAATAAAGATTAATAATAATAATAATAATAATAATAATAATGTTGGGTGTGCTTTATTTGTGCTTTTCTTGCATGGCAGAAGGGGGTGGACTGGATGGCCTCTGGGGTCATTTCTATTATTATTATTATTATTATTATTATTATTATTATTATTATTATTATTACAACAAAAGCAGGATGACTATCTGTTTGGAGGTGCTTTGATTATTCTTTTCGTCCATGTCCCAGCATTATTTCCAATTTTAACTCTACATTTGGCCTTCCCACTGTTTTTAATTGTGTGTTGTCTTATTGATAATGTTGTGTATTTTATTGTCTATGGTTTTTTTAATTGCTTGTATTGTTGTTATTATTGCTTGTACTGTTGTGTTTGGGCTCGGCCTCATGTAAGCCGTACAGAGTCCCTTGGGGAGATGGTAGCTGGGTACGAATAAAGTGTTGTTGTTGTTGTTGTTGTTGTTGTTGTTGTTGTTGTTGTTATTATTATTATTATTATTTGCCTGCATAGCAGAAGGGGTTGGACTGAATAGCAGTGGGGTTGCTCCTATTACTATTATTATAAGGGCTGAATAGTCATCTGTTGTGGGAGTTTTGATTGTGCTTTTCCTGAATGGCAGAAGGGAATTGGACTCAATATTTCAGATATCAGCTTAACAGGTGAGAAACCTAATTGCCTTGCACAAATACTAGTGGATATTTACCACTAAGGAGAAGGTTGACTCTGGGGGGTGGTGCTCATCTCCATTTCTAAGCCAAAGAGTCAGCATTGTCCATAGACACCTCCAAGGTCATGTGGCCAGCATGCCTGCATGGAGCGCCGTTATCTTCCTGCTGATCAAACTCACATTTGTGTCACAAGAAATTCAATGTGCAGATTTGATAAATATGAATTTAATATGATGTTTGTGAAGGAATGGAAGAATGGAAGGATGTATGGATGAAATTAATAATTTTGGAAACACCAGTATAATATTAAGGCCTACAATGACTGACTAACTACCTGCTTGCTGGACTTGCTAATGAGAAACCCTGATAAGAACTGGGGACAGTGATAACAGAAATGTTTTGCAACCTTCCTTATGTTAAGAAGGAAGTCAACACAAGCCTTGTGTTTGCTAACACCAATCAAGAAGATCAACATTGAGATGGACCCAGGATGGAAGACATCTATCATTAATTTACAACTTTGGGACTACATCAACAGAATATTTCTATAAAAGACTCAGTCTAATAATGCTCAAAGTGTGGCAGACCTGAGGAGTTTGTTCTACCCGCTATGCTCTGCTCCATGGGAAGGATAGAGAAAGTGTACATATGTAGAGTGGGAGATTTGCACGGAAGCAGTCTGATCACTTTGGGGCTTCTTTCTCAAGGGAAGAGGAAGAAGTGCACTTTTGGAGTCTTAGATTTTGTGCAGAGAGTCGGGTTCTGCTGTATGGAAATCCTTGGCATTGTTCTTAGGGAAGAAGTTTTGGCATTTCAGCATTCTGAAGTTTTGGTGTTATGGAAGTTTTGGGACTATGCTATTGGCAGGCTGCAGGAAATCAGCGTCTGGCCTAACAGGTGCTTCTCCAAAGAGGGAGAAAAGGATACGGTAATATTTGGATGCATGTGGATGAATGCGTGTACATGTGTGTGAATGTTGAGTGAAAATGTAATTCCCCTTTGTTTGTTTGTTAACCAATGTAATTGTAAATCAAATGTAGCTGCATAGAATCTGTATGTCTGTATGTCTAATGTCATTCGTTGTCTAAATATTTTTTCTGTAATCTGATATACCTTCTCACACTGGAAATTGCAATAAAAAGAACCTATGCTTCAAAGTCATTGAAAAGTCATTCATGACATTTGTATATTTTTGAACTGCTAGGTTGGGAGAAGCTGGGGCTAACAGTGGGAGCTCACACTGCTTCTCAGATTCGAACCTGCGTCCTTTCGGTAAGAACGTTCAGCAGCTCGGAGCTTTAACACTGTGCCACTGAGGGCTTGATAACCCAGTTCAAAACAGATATTGGAGGATTTTCTGCCTTGATATTCTGGGATACAGGGCTGTGCGGAAGGGCCCCCAGATTCCTTTGCTGGGAGTCGGCCCCATTCACTGTCTGTGTGATGCTCGACTATTGGATTTAGAATTGTCTCCTGCCTTGCTCAGACAGCATCGATCATTCCCCTGACGCAGGGCCCTTCCACACAGCCCTATATCCCAGAATATCAAGGCAGAAAATTCACAAGCTCTGCTTTGAACTGGGTTATCTGATCCCACATTCAGATAATGTGGGATTTTATTTACCTGTGTGGAAGGGGCCTGAGTGTGGACTCACATAAAGGTAAAGGTTTACCCTGACAGTAATGTCTAGTCATGTCCAACCCTGGGGGTTGATGCTCATCTCCATTTCTAAGCCAAAGAGCCAGCGTTGTCCATAGACACCTCCAAAGTCATGTGGCTGGCATGACTGCATGAAGTGCCGTTACCTTCCTGCTGAAGCTGCACCTATTGATCAACTCATATGTGCATGTTTTCGAAGTGCTAGGTTGGCATAAGCTGGGGCTAACAGCAGGAGTTCACACCGCTCCCTGGATTCTTTCAGTAAGCAAATTCAGCAGCTCAGCGCTTTAACACAGCGCCACTGAGGGCTCGATAACCCAGTTCAAAGCAGATATTGTAGGATTTTCTGTCTTAATATACTGGGATATAGGGCTCTGTGGAAAGGCTCCAGTGAATTAGGAGTCAGCCCCACTCACTGTCGGTGTGATGCTCGACTATTGGCTTTAGAATTGGGTTGTTGTAGGTTTTTCGGGCTATTTGGCCGTGCTCTAGAACAGGGGTCCTCAAACTAAGGCCTGGGGGCCGGATGTGGCCCTCCAAGGTCATTTACCTGGCCCTTGCTCAGGATCAACATAAGCCTGAAACTACTTGAAAGCACACAACAACAACAACAACAACAACAACCCTATCTCATCAGCCAAAAGCAGGCCCACACTTCCCATTGAAATACTAATAAGTTTATATTTGTTAAAATTGTTCTTCATAGAATCCTAGAATCAAAGAGTTGGAAGAGACCTCGTGGGCCATCCAGTCCAACCCCCTGCCAAGAAGCAGGAATATTGCATTCAAATCACCCGACAGATGGCCATCCAGCCTCTGTTTAAAAGCCTCCGAAGAAGGAGCCTCCACCACACTCCGGGGCAAAGAGTTCCACTGCTGAACGGCTCTCACAGTCAGGAAGTTCTTCCTCATGTTCAGGTGGAATCTCCTCTCTTGTAGTTTGAAGCCATTGCTTGGCGTCCTAGTCTCCAAGGAAGCAGAAAACAAGCTTGCTCCCTCCTCCCTGTGGCTTCCTCTCACATATTTATACATGGCTATCATATCTCCTCTCAGCCTTCTCTTCTTCAGGCTAAACATGCCCCTTAAGCCACCTCATAGGGCTTGTTCTCCAGACCCTTGATCATTTTAGTCACCCTCCTCTGGACACATTCATTTTAATTATTGTATTGTTTTTAAGTGGTTTTTTGCACTACAATAAAGGTATGCGCAGTGTGCATAGGAATTCATTCTTTTTTCCCCGAATTATAATCTGGCCCTTCAACAGTTTGAGGAACTGTGATCTAGCCCTCTGTTTAGAAAATTTGAGGACCCCTGCTCTAGAAGCATTCTCTCCTGATGTTTCGCCTGCATCTGTGGCAAGCATTCTCAGAGGTTGTGAGGTGCCCTTCCGCACAGTCCTATACCTCGGAATATCAAAGTGGGACATCCCACACCTCTGAGGATGCTTGCCATAGATGCAGGCGAAATATCAGGAGAGAATGCTTCTAGCACATGGCCATATAGCCCGAAAAACCGACAACAACCCAGTGATTCCAGCCATGAAAGCGTTCGACAATACATGGCTTTAGGATTGTTTCCTGCCTTGGTATTTATTTATCATGTCAGGAGCAAACCATACTTTTTTTTAACAAACAAACAAACAAAACACAAAGTTTGCAAGCTTGGTAGTTGATTAAATTGTCAGGCAGCATCAATCATTCCCAGGGGCGGCTTGTCCATTACGCGAAGTAAGCGGTCGCAGAACACTTTTTTTTGCCAGGGGCGCAGAGGCACCTCTGTAAATGCCCCTCGACCGCCACTTGAGGAGCGCCCCCTCAGCTCACAACAGCCCTAGCAGTCCGGGGAGCCTCGGCTTTCTTGCCTCGCTGCCGGGCAATCCTCTTCCCAAAGGGGCCAGGCCCTTGAGCCTCGCCTAGCCCCTCTTGTTCCTGCTCCACCCGGCCACCGGGTGCACGAGCAGAGCCGGCGCTCAATCGTTCTCCGCGTTCGATCCCTTCCCCATGACCGGCTCCCTTTCCCAATCCCCTGGCGCTCCACCCGCCTCCTCTCCTCTCCCCAATCCGTGGGTAGGCCAAGGGGTGGAGCTGCTGCGCCTGCCCGCTTCGGGTCCAGAGGGGTGTCTGAAGACCCCAAAAGTCACCTCTTCTCCTGACTTTCTCTTCAGCCATTGGGACCAAGAGAGAGAGAGAGAGAGAGAGCCCCTCCGGCTGGAGGTATCTCCCACCTCCGCTCCCTCCTTTGTTTTTGCGCCTACCTTCAGGAAAGGTGGGCATCTCCACCTCTCTCTCTCTCTCTCTCTCTGGTCCCAATGGCTGAGGAGAAAGTCAGGAGAAGAGGTGACTTTTGGTGCACACGCGGGGGTCTTCAGGCACGCCTCCGGACCCAAAGAGGGCCAGGCAAGGGAGCAAGTGCGGCAAGTGTAGTTACTGGGATGTATAGTTCACCTACAATCAAAGAGCATTCTGAACTCCACCAATGATGGAATTGAACCAAATATGGCACACAGAACTCCCACGACAAACAGAAAATATATATATCAATGATTGGTTGGGGGGGGGGCGCCAAAATACTGTTTGCTTATCATTGAAGTCAGGGCCGCCTTTGATCATTCCCCTGACTCTGGGCCCTTCCACACAGCCCTATATCCCAGAATATCAAGGCAGAAAATCTCGCAAGATCTGCTTTGAACTGGGTTATCTGAGTGTTGGATTTGCTACCTTGATATTCTGGGATATAGGGCTATGTGGAAGGGCCCCCAGGCATTCTGCGTGGGATAATGAGGCCAGAGTTTGGATTACCTGCTGCTGAAGGGGTGCCATCACTGTCAAAGGCTGCTGCTGCTGCTGCTGCGCCGGAGCCAGCTCAGCCAAAACTATGCCCAGGGAAGCCAGCCCTGCCAGCAAGGCGCAAAGGGCCACCACTAGGGCGCAACGGGCGACCGGGGAAGAGCGGAGAAGCTCCATGGACGGCTGCGGCTCTGACTCTGAGCAGCCTCCCTCCTAGGAAGCTCCGTTTGAGCCAGGAGCGCCCACTTTCGCCCCGCCTCCTTCGAGGCGGCTTTTGGGCTTCCCGTTGCGCGTCACGGATGATGGGAAATCTTCTCTCCCCTCCCCAAAGTGAGAGTTTGGACGCAGATCCCTGCATGAGCTCTTGGAAGAGGAAGATTGGAATATTCCACTGCTTTGCGCCTGGTTCTGCTGCCTCTGCGCCAGAGAGGTGTTGCAATGAGGCTTCTCATTCCATCTACAAACCTAGTTTGATCAAAACTACAAAATATTATTTATTTTACTAGTGGTCCCCTGCCACGCGTTGCTGTGACCCAGTCTGTTGATCTGGAAAATAAAGTAATTAGAAAGTGGGTTGTTGTAGGTTTTTCCGGGTTATATGGCCATGTTCTGGAGGCATTTTCTCCTGACGTTTCGCCTGCATCTATGGCAAGCATCCTCAGAGGTAGTGAGGTCTGTTGAAAGTAGGAAAATGGGTTTATATAAGGGTGAGACAAAGGACTCTTGTCTTCTGGAGCTAGGTGTGGATGTTTCAATTGACCACCTTAATTAGCATTTGATGGCTTGGCAGTGCCTGGGGGAATCTTTTGTTGAGAGGTGATTAGATGTGCCTGACTAGATGTAATTAGAAAGTGTTGGTTTCTAATATATGTAATGTCTTTCTGCTTGTGCATAAACAGTATTTCTTGATGTTTCTTTGACAGTGTTGACGTAAAGATTGTCTGGTTTGCCTACTCTGAAACATGCAACATATCATAGCAGGGCCGTAGCCAGAAAAAAATTTCGGGGAGGGTTGACAATTTCGGGGGGGGTTGAATTTGGGGGGGGGGGGGGGGGGGGGTTGAAACCTGCCTCCTAGCTCACGCTGAAGCAAAGAGCACAGCAGGGGGCAGAGCAGCCTTCAATAGCCTGCAGCTCTCCCCCCTGTCAACCACCTCCACCAAGTCTGGCCTCCTTAATGAGAGCATTCAACACACACACACACACCCAACTTGGTTGCTTCACTACATCGGCTATTGCTGCAAGTAATGACAGTGTGAATAAATTGTCAATATTTGCTTGAGATAGTGCTTACAGTTCTGGAGGGACTCTTAATTTTTTGCATCTCATAGACTTAGCATGAGGATTTGGTTAACCAGTTAAAATTCATGAGTAAACCAGGTTTTTTAAAAAAAATCTGAAACATTTCGGGGGGGGGGTTGAACCCCTAAAACCACCCCCTCGCTATAGGCCTGTATCATAGTCCTTCTTTAGGAGTCCCTTTCAAATCTATGATACTATATCTGGGTGTATGTGAATCAGATATATCTATATCTATGGCTGGATGGCTCTCTGTCAGGAGGGCTTTGATTATGTTTTCTTGCCCTGGTAAAGAGAGTTGGACTGGATGGCCTTAAGTATTTTCTGTTGGTCATGGGGGTTCTGTGAGGGAAGTTTGGCCCAGTTCTGTCATTTGTGGGGTTCATTCAGAATGGCCTTTGATTGTAGGTGAACTATAAATCCCAGTAACTACAACTCCCAAATGCCAAGGTCTATTTCCCCAAACTCCATCTGTGTTTATATTTGGGCATGTTGGACTATATGCCAAGTTTGGTCCAGATCCATCATTGTTTGAGTCCACAGTGCTCTCTGGATGTAGGTGAACTACAACTCCCAAACTCAAGGTCAATGCCCACCAAACGCTTCCAAGTATTTTCTGTTGGTCATGGGAGGCCTGTGTGCCAAGTTTGGTTCAGAATGCTCTTTGATAGGTGAACTATAAATCCCAGCAACTACAACTCCCAAATGACAAAATCATACATTTTTGAGTGATGGTCACTCCTTGTGTAGTGAGACGTTTTGTTGCCAAATTTGGTGTGATTTCATTCATTGGTTCTTTTGTTTTTAAGGTACTCATTATGCACAGAACATTTATATATATATATAGATGTCTTTCTGCTTGTGGGTAAACAGTATTTCTTGCTGTTTCTTTGTCAGTGTTGATGTGGAGAGTGTCTGGTTTGCCCACTCTGGAGCATGCAACATATAATTGTCATTCTTTTCTTTTCTTTTCTTTTTTTGTGAAAAGATTTTATTAAGTTTTCTAATAATACATTGAAAGAGTGAGAACAATGAAAGTATAGAAAAGACATAGAAAAGGAGAAGATATGCAAAGAGAGCAAAAAAAAACAACCCCAAAATAATTAAAAAAAATAGTGGTAGAAAAATCTAAAAAAAATACTACAAAAATAAAAGGGGGGGGGTTAATTTCCATTCCATCTTCTTGGTTATTTATCTTAGTTTTTTTCAAAATCAAATGTTATATCAAAAGAAATTTTCTCTTATGTCCATTATTTATTATAGCTCTCCAAATAGCTATTAAAGAGATCCCAATTTGTTCTTTTCAGAGTATTTCCAGTATTCTTTCTCATCAAAACAGTGAGTTCATCCATGTCCTTCTTTAGGGGTCCCTTTCAAATCTATGATACTATATCTGTGTGTGTATTAATCATATCTATCTATATCTATGGCTGGATGGCTCAGGAGGGCTTTGATGATGTTTTCTTGCCCTGGTGAAGGGAGTTGGACTGGATGGCCCTGCATATGGGACTGGATGGCCCTACGTGTGGGAAGTTTGCCCCAATTCTGTCTTTGGTGAGGTTCAGCATGCGCTTTGATTTTAGGGGAACTATAAATCCCAGTAACTACAACTCCCAAATGTCAATGTCTATTTTCCTCAAACTCCACCAATGTTCATATTTGGGCATATGGAATATTTGTGCCAAGTTTGGTCCAGATCTATCATTGTTTGAGTCCCTAGTGCTCTCTGGGTGTAGGTGAACTACAACTCCCAAACTCAACATCAATGCCCACCATTGACGTTGTGTTTTCTGTTGGTCATGGGAGCCCTGTGTGCCAAGTTTGGTTCAGTTCCATCGTTGGTGGAGTTCAGAATGCTCTTTGATTGTAGGTGAACTATAAATCCCAGCAACTACAATTCCCAAATGACAAAATCAATTTTTTTTTAGTGATCATCACTCCTTGGGTTAGTAGGTGTCTTGTGGCCAAATTTGGCAGCAATTCGTCCAGTGGTTTTTGAGTTATGTCAATCCCACAAACGAACATTACATTTTTATTTATATAGATTTATTTATTTCAAGCATTTGTACCCCGCCCTTTGCAACCCCCAAAGGGGGGACTCAGGGCGGTTTACATACATACAGTACTTACTTAAGTGATTATTATTATTATTACTAGCCATTCCCTGCCACACATTGCTGTGGCCCAGTCTGTGTATATGTGTTTCGTGTGTGTGTGTGTGCTTGTGTGTATATATATATGTGTGTGTGTGTGTATACCCCCAGTGGCGCAGGTGGTTAAACCACTGAGGTGTTAAACTTGCTAACCAAAAGGTTGCAGGTTCGAATCCGGGGAGCGCCATGAGCCCCCGCTGTTAGCTCCAGCTTCTGCCAACCTAGTAATTCGAAAACATGCAAATGTGAGTAGATCAATAGGTACCTCTCCGGCGGGAAGGTAACAGTGCTCCATGCAGTCATGCAGGCCACATGACTTTGGAGGTATCTATTGACAACACTGGCTCTTGGGCTTAGAAATGGAGATGAGCAGCAACACACTCCACACACCCCTGAGTCGGACACGACTGGACTTAATGTCAGGGGAACAATGTGGTTATGTGCATGCATTGTAGTGCATTTTTTATTTTCTGCCTTTTTAAGTCTCTTTCGCTGCCTTTTTCAGTGTTTTTATGAGTGATGGTCACTTGTTGGCCCGATAGGTGTACTGTCAAAATTTGGTGTCAATTCGCCCAGTGATTTTTGAATTATGTTAAGCGCACAAATGAACATGACATTTTTATTTATATAGATTATTATTATTATTATTATTTCAGGCTTTTATATTCCGTCCTATCTCAACCTCTGCAGAGGGACTCAGGACAGCTAACAAATCGGCACAATTTAACGGTAATATAATAATAACAATATAAAACAGTATAAAAACAGTATAAAAACAATCAATCAATCAGTCAGCGGTCACCAGTTTAAATCATCGTCCAAGGGCAGTCGATCCCTCGTTGTCTGAGGATGATGGTCCTCCAAGTGTGGTGTCCTGGCGGTGGGTCCATAGGTGACTGTGGAGCCCTATTCAGTAAATTATATTATGGTCTAGAGACCCTCATTACACTGTAGCACACAAGTTATACAGATAATGAGATTAAAAACATTCACTGGATAAAATTTGGACACAGTACTTACTTACTTACTTACTTACTTAGGCGATCCCTCGTTGGCCGAGTAGGATAGTCTTCCAGGATCAGAATTCTTGTGAGTCTGTAGGTGGCTGTGGAGCCCTATTCTTGATCTGCATCTTCTTCCGCAGTGAGGGGATTGGTTTTGCAGGTGGAAGGCGGTCCCGGTCGGGGTTGGCTTGATGCGTCTTCCTCTTGGCACATTTCTCTCTTTCACTCTGCATTCATGCCTCTTAAAATTCTGCAGCACTGCTGGTCACAGCTGACCTCCAGCTGGAGCGCTCAAGGGCCAGGGCTTCCCTGTTCTCAGTGTCTATGACAGAGTTCTTAAGGTTGGCTTTGAGCCCATCTTTAAATCTCTTTTCCTGTCCACCAACATTCCGTTTTCCATTCTTGAGTTCGGAGTAGAGCAACTGCTTTGGGAGGCGGTGGTCGGGCATCCGGACAATGTGGCCGGCCCAGCGGAGTTGATGGCAGAGGACCATCGCTTCAGTGCTGGTGGTCTTTGCTTCTTCCAGCACACTGACATTTGTCCGCCTGTCTTCCCAAGAGATTTGCAGGATTTTCCGGAGGCAGTGCTGATGGATTCGTTCCAGGAGTTGCATGTGACGTCTGTAGACAGTCCACATTTCGCAGGCATATAACAGGGTTGGGAGGACAATAGCTTGTATTTTAGCATGTGTTTTAAGCAGTAAAAGCTGCTTAAAATACATGTTG